TTGTCTCTCTCTCTGTCTCTCTCTCTCTATATATATAATTATATATATATATATATGATTACTATGATTTTCCAATTGATTTCTTATTCAGAAAGATATCCAATAACATTCTAGTTTCCTTCTTCACCAAATCTAAACATAAAATAAATTATAGTGGACTCATGAGAATATTTGTTTGTTCCTAGCATCAATTTGCATTGTAGCAAAAAAATCGCCTATAAAGAAAATCATCCGAGCACTTTGATATTTCATAGAAAAAAGATTTATCTAGAATATTGTGGGAATTGTCTCTCTCTCTGTCTCTCTCTCTCTATATATATAATTATATATATATATATATGATTACTATGATTTTCCAATTGATTTCTTATTCAGAAAGATATCCAATAACATTCTAGTTTCCTTCTTCACCAAATCTAAACATAAAATAAATTATAGTGGACTCATGAGAATATTTGTTTGTTCCTAGCATCAATTTGCATTGTAGCAAAAAAATCGCCTATAAAGAAAATCATCCGAGCACTTTGATATTTCATAGAAAAAAGATTTATCTAGAATATTGTGGGAACAAAAATAACAGTAATAATAATAACTATCTAGCAACTATTTTTTTATAATCACTAAGAAAAAATACTAGTAAATGGATAAGATGATCATGAAAAAAAGAAGACCTGAATGATAGAAATGCTTACCGATAAAATTTTGTAATTTTTAAAATTGAATCCTATTGTTCCTTCTTCCAAAATCGAAAAATCTGCAGCAACTTTTTCTTCTCGTGAGAATAGATGAGATGACAAAGGAAGGGGAAAAGGTTTGTTATAAAGGGATAGGGTTACCTAGGAAATTCCTTAAGGTTAGGGATCATTTGGTTTTTTTCATTGAGAAACGTGATTATGTAGTTACAACACAAATCCCACGTATTATTTCTCCCCTTTCTTGTGAGATGTTAACTGCCCATGGGATCCATATGGGCTATAGGCCTGTTTGGTCCTTAAAAACAAACTAAAAAAGAAGCAAATGGGCCTCAACAAGTCCTAAGGGAAAACATAACTGTAGGCTTGCATAGGCGGGGTATTACAAATATGTTAGTGCTTCCCTCATTCATGAAGGATAAGCTAAAATGAGTCTCTAACATCGAAAATTCTTTGGGGATAAGTCGGGACTCGGTGTCTTTTTAGAGAAATGATTTTGGGGAGTCACACTATTGCCAAGTGTGGCGTATTTGATAGGCTTGTGCGAGATTGAGAATTCCATAAGGGGGTGTTAGTCAATTGGGACATTTTCATGCAAAATGGGATAATTGTTAAAGTGGAATAA